AAAGAAACAGAGCTTCAAAACAAAGACTGCAGCGCCATCTGAAGCAATGAGCGGACTTCCGCGGACATTTTTTTGGTTGAGTGAACCACCCTGTGATTAGATCTAAATCTAGACAGGGGCGAAGGCTGACTTGTTTGACAGGGTAATCAAAGTGAAACGGAACCAGATATTATGGCCTGGAGATATCACACAAGAATCTTACTAGAGGCGGCGACTCTTAAGTTGTGTGAATGAAAACAAATCCGGAATTCAACCGCCAAAATAATCGGGAAAGTATCTTATTAAATATCAATTCCAATTAAAATTAAATTTAACTTTAAAAGTGAAGACACAAACCCAAAACAAGGAAGCAGAGATGTCAGTACTAGATCTATAATATGTTATAGATCTACCAGGGAGTCTAACTATTTGGTAGAACATGACAATTATCATTTTTTTAAAATTTCACTTTTGGCTGTGTTTTGTCTAGCTTTTCGCGGCCAGGAGCCGGTATCATAATCGAGGTCACGATCTGATTATAGGACGTTAAAAAAAGCACTCGTAGCAGTAAAGAGATTATTAGGAGTTAGTTCCCCTCACATCTGTAAGGTAGACTCGACCAGTGTAATAGTTCACTTACATAATCAGGGCTTACGACTGATTATATTTGTGGCCCAAAAGGGGTGAACTGGGTATATGTGGCAATGAAACAGTATTGACTGCTATGCACGTATTCCCTTCAACTCTATTGGTAGACTCTTCCAGCCCCACTTTAAGCTTATTTAATCAAAGCTTGTGACTGCTTATGGAGTGGCCCGAGAGGGGTGAGCAGGCTATTTCTGTGGCAGTGAAACCGTTTTGAATGTTAGGCATACTGTTCATTGTTGATTATGAAACGTCTTTTTACCTTTAATTTACAACGTTTACGTTTATGGGTGAATTTGACTGGTACAACGTTTCAAAATTAGGAAGGGAAGCAGTGAGTATTTGATTATATAGACACTTCGCCCCTGGATCTAGATATTGTTGTGCACCCAGCCAAGAGTGTGCAGTTCGGAAAGTAGATGATCTAAACCTAGATTTAGTAGTGGGAGAATGACCAAAGAGCGACTCTAGACTATAACTTGTGAATTTGCGGAGACACACCATCATGCAACTTGATTCACACTACATGTATCACATCAACAGTTCTTAAGCTTCTGTACTCGTTTCAATGGCTTCTTTTTCGGTGCACTGTTTCGGCTCTCCTGTACAATTGCGGTTCGTTTGTTTACACGACGGCCATTGTGGGAGTGAATCTAGATCTAAATCTAGATCATCTAGATCTAGAGATCTCTAGACTCTAGATTCTAGATAGACAAGAGATAATCTATCTTTAGATATAGATCTAGATCTAGATATATAATCTACATTATTGGTCTAGATTAGATACATGTATAATTTTAATTCAGTTTAGATCTAGATCTAAATCTAAATAAGATACACGTAAAAATTACTACAGGGGCACTTGGGCCTTGATCTAGATTTTAGATTGTGATTTAATGCAAACGGGACCGCAATTGTAGGCCTATAGGAGTTCTGACTTTGGGGAACAGCTTGCTGTGTAGATGATCTAGATGATCTTGATCTAGTCAACAGTTAGGCTACTGAACTCTAGCTGAAGGGTTCTCATACTCATCAGTCATAGAGTCTAGATTAGTATTGTTGTTCTTTTTATTGTTGTTCATTCTTTGATATGATACTAGGCCTAACCAAAATTATAACCTTAGACATTCCAGAATCCATAGATTTAAGGAGGGGGGGGGGGGGCTACACCTAAAGGCTATCTCACTTATTACTGAGCCAAATTTTACTAAATGTCACACATATAACAAGCATAGTAAGGAATCTTAAAATCTGCAATCACATTTGAGAAAAAAGTTTCGTTTCCATGGATACGGCGGCCATATTCAACTTTGTTGACATCTTACGTAATGAATACCGCACTTATTGCTCATGGAAATTGATTTTTTTGCACGCGTGTTAACAAATATTAGATAACAAAATTTGTCTGTTGGTTTTTTTTCCTAAACGAATTAGAAAATTTTTAATGAATTTTTCCTGAGGTAGCAATTAAGTTTGCAAAAAATCCGTGAAAATCCATACTCCAGACACCACCAACAAATGTCTATTCCATATATACTTTAAAAAATCAACAGCCAAATTTTTAGTATTACATCCTCTCTTCATTCTGTGAAAATTTCATGAAGATTGGATAAAAAATGGTGGAGTTATTTTGAAAAAGTATAGAGAAAAGTCGCCTTTTGAGAAAACGGCCCATAAAGAAACATAAAATATTTACTTTATGAGAAGATGGCGGTGACGAGCATGCCTGGTATAGGGAAAATGCGCCTTTGTGGGTTCTTGAGCGATGAAATAGTTGTTGGAGAGACGGAGGAAGCTAAAAATACCTACAACTGAAATTCCATTATTTTGAGCCGACTTGGGACTTTGGGGTGTACAGCTTGCCCCAGTTAGCCTTTCCATTGACATGCATTCTACATGTGCATCACTTTGTTATGTTTTGATTCCCCAATGACATTCCTTTTTTTTAAAAATGTAGGCTGTTGTATAAATATAGGCGCCTATGTTAACAAACACAATGTGATGGGGTTTCATTTCTATTATTCTATATATATATATATACAAAATGATTTTAACAAAAATAGCTTATTCTTGGCAAGATAAATAAGCAAGATTTTTTTTTTTTTTTTTTTTTGACTAGTGAAAATGATGTTTGAGATTGAGGAATTTCCATGTTGTAAAAAGCATGAGCCTTTCCTTAGCACAGTAAGTACTTTTTTCTTGGGGTGGTTCGTTTCTTTCCAGAGTTCGTAGGATTGGGAACTTTAAATACCCGGTAACATAGGTACGACTGTATAGCACGCCCAGTTAGTTTTTCTTAGCACTCGTAAACTGAGAGTCCGCTAAGCGCTCAAGACTCAGAGCAGAAAAAGTTCTCAGAAAAGAGACATTTTGGTGACTTGCTCAGCAGATTCTGTCTTCCCCCACGTCTGGCACCTCGGACCGTATCTTTCGAAGAAAAAAAAGTCCAATCTATTGTATATTCTGTTAGAACAGTTCATTGCAGAGCATCACTGGCTGTCCTGTAGTCTTTTAGCTGTAAGATCTAATCTACTTCTACCGTTTCGTATCTACGTCATCATGTCACTGAACATGTCACATCATCATGTCCCAGAACATGTTCAACTCACTGCCGCTTTCCGTACATAAAATTGTTATTCTTAACTCACTATATTCAAAATGTAAACAAAAACCAGTCAAAATAATTACCAAACAGTTAACATTTTAAAAAAACAAAGGAAATCTGCCATTACGAAAATCAAAGTAGGCAGCTATTTCAGTGAGTTGAATACATGTAGTGCGCTCTTTCTCCCTGTCGTGTTTACGCTTTAAACGCGCAGCAAGCTGGTTACCAAGGGGAACCAGTAAGACCAGAAATGAGGCCTGTTGTCCCGTCTTGGTATATTCTGTCTTAGGGTGTATTTTAGCCAAAGAGGTTATAAATAGAACAAGAGGTCTTAGCTGTGACGTCACGAGTGTCAAACTTGAGGGGCGCGCCGCCATTACGTAGAGGAATAAAAGGCCAGTCGGTGCACAGTAACACTGTTCAATCATGGATTAACGATACTCCGTGAAGTTTTTTATGTTGATTTTTTTTCCATGTGATTTGCCTATTGCTAAAGCGTACTCGTAGTGATTTTTGTGATTGTTTACCTTTAAATAAGCCAGATAATCTTCAAATACAGTGGAAGCCATATATAACAGACCCGGTAATAACAGGGATCCGGTATAACAGGGATTTTTAAAATCCCCGTTTTTTCCTATTCTATGTCTCTATTAAAAGTTATCGGCAATAACAGGTCCTCATCCTAGCCCAGTCGGTTATAGCAGGGATAAAGGCTCGTTACCAATGTATACATTAGCTATCAAGCCGTATCAACACTTTAAGCATCTCTGCCTTTAATTGAACAATATCTTATTCTTATCACAGCGACTACTACAACAACATCAACAACAACATCAACAACAACAAGAGAGAGATAGAGAGAGAGAGAGAGAGAGAGAGAGAGAGAGAGAGAGAGAGAGAGAGAGAGAGAGAGAGAGAGAGAGAGAGTAACACAGTGATGATGCAAGCCACGACACGGCAAACACACGCAGCGGGTGAAGTGACGGAGGACTGTGGTGTGCTGCAGACTTCGATCTAGCCACGCAGGCGTAATGTGTCATGCGCAGGCCATGGGAAACTACCCATAAACAAATACAGCTGCATTTGTCCACAAATGCTTACTCCCCTTGCATTTTTAATGTAACAGGGATCTGATATAACAGGACCTTTTCTCTGGTCCCACCATCCCTGTTATATCAGGTTTCCACTGTAATGCAATTAATAAAGAGATTTTACAGGAATGTGACTGAGAAGCAGCTAGAAGCTGAAGCTGCAATTCTAGCACACTTTCAAGGCTGGCTGAACGGAAAAGAACCACTCACTGTCGATGTTGTTGAATGAAAAAATATGAAGTAGCCAACCAGGTGTAATTATTTACACACTAATAAGACCCTCATGATATTCTATCTCATTTGCAGAATCGATGCCAAACAGCGTGTGCAACAGCAGCAGCAGAGATTCAGGGAAGATGGGGTGTTATGTAGCCAAACACCATTGCCAACCAATGTCAATTTTAAAAAAACCCATTGTGAACGGTTAAGATAAACTAGCTATTTATCTTAGTGTTGCATTTTAAAATGTTGTCATTATATAAATAGTTGTGCCGAATATTAAACAACGCTATTTGGGTGTGCATACAGGATCTATACAATAAGAAGTGATTTACAGTATCCCAGCCTACAATTAATTGCTAATTTTGAGACAATAACGCATTAATTCTATGAAGACCTAGGCTTTGCATCAGTAGAAGGAGAGTGTAGGCAAGATGACATAAAAGCAATCCATTACTCACTTTGTCTCCCTCTGCCCCTCTCCACCCCACCCTGGAAAAACAAACAATATCTCATATTATATCTCTCTGTTCATTTGTAGCCCATATGTAAGTGCATTTGTTTCCCACAATCGGTAAGCGAGTGCGGTATTGTGTATGCGTGTATGTTATATGATGAAACAACAGCAACCGAAAAGATAACTTAAATTAAAACTGAAATGAGCTTCAAACTCTATGAAGACGTAGGCATTGCGAGGGACTCGTAGCATGGCAGCGCTGTTTCTAATCCTCTCAAAAATGGCGACAAAGCGAGCTGAGCGGGTCCGAACAACCATAGTGAGTTTACGTGGGCGACGTCACAGCTGCGACCTCTAGTACATGTACTATTATAACCTCTTTGATTTTAGTGCAATGCCCAAGTCTGTGCTAACAAACGACTTCCACTTGTTGAAACTCATGACTAAAAAGCATGGTTATTTCACTCGTATGGTGAATCATGATCTCCCACCATAACTCATGTAATAAATTCCTTTTAACCCAAAAGCCGAACAGCTTACACAATACAATTATGGAAAGGTCAGAACGGACTAACTGGAGCAAAACAGACAATTGTTACGTGTTATATAAATCACGCTGCCGCCGAAAGATCATAATCTGAAACACACGCAAAAAACCCCAAAATAAAAACATAAAGACCTGTCCATGGCAAGTTCCACCAGGACAAAACTACTTCGTCAGTTCAGGCAAGGTTCAGGCATATTAAAAGACACGACTCGCTGGAGAAATGGTAATAGGAGATTCTTGGCCCAAACTGGACGTCTCACAAACAAAGGATCACAGCACAAAGAGAGGCAGATGACAAAACAAAATACACAAGGATCATTCGGGATACAGCGTCGTGCGTAATAATATACCAAAAAATGAAGATACTGAAGATACAAAATACGAGTATCAAATGTCTGATCATAGAATGATTTCCTCTCTTACTCAAAGAATAATACTTAAGTTAAGGCCACACACGGGTTTGGGGGTCCAGTTTGGGGCCTGACAATGGGTTGTTTTTTGTGTTTTTGTTGTTGTTGTCTTGGCGCGGGGGGGGGGGGGGGGGTTGGGGGGTGTTTAAGAAAGTTCTCTAACAAAGTATCAACTAAAACTGTGTTTTACGACATCCTGTCGCATACGATCAGATGTCAAGGTCTGGTGGTTGCCATGCATCATTGTTTCCCAGATATGTAAGACGATCGCCCCCAGGCTATAAAAAAACATGGCTGCATCGGCGGACACCTGGAAAGTGGTGAGAGTGATGCACATAGCTGGCTTGTGTTTGGAGTAAATGTGACCATAATGTTGTCTGGCCGCTTTCATTTGGTCACAAAGTGTAATTCTTGAACATTGTATGGCTATTTCACTACTTTAGCCTAACTCGAAGAGAAGTTGCTAAACATGGGTAGTGGAAAAGTATCACGAATACGTAAACTGAAAAGCCCATCCCGGACAAATAAACATGGTATGAGGCTTGTCTCTGTAGATACCGGGCGCTAAATCGGTGAGAAAGGCGGTGCATGATCGAACATGCTTTAGTCAATGAAAAATCGATAGGTTATGACTGTCCCTATCTCTGACTATGTCTCTGTCTGTCTGTCTGTCTGTCTGTCTGTCTGTCTGTCTGTCTGTCTGTCTGTCTGTCTGTCTGTCTGTCTGTCTGTCTGTCTGTTTCTGTCTCTGTCTCTGTCTCTGTCTGTATGTCTGCCTGCCTCTCTCTCTCTCTCTCTCTCTCTCTCTCTCTCTCTCTCTCTCTCTCTCTCTCTCTCTCTCTCTCTCTCTCTCTCTCTCTCTCTCTCTCTCTCTCTCTCTCTCTCTCTCTCTCTCTCTCTCTCTCTCTCTCTCTCTCTCTCTCTCTCTCTCTCTCTCACCTGAACGTGCATGCGCGCATACGCTGTTGGTTGCTCTGTTTCTCCTGTTTCTCTCATTTCAAGGTGTTTTTCAGAGCAGGTCTACTCTGTCCCACTAAGTACATCACAAGGACGTTTTGCACTTCGTTTTAGCCAGTATTACATCTTACTGATCGATAGAAAACCACCGACGAAAAGAACAGGTCACCATAGTTCGATTTCGCACTCAGGTCGATCGCATAAACCCAATTCTAACAACAGTTTCAGTCCATAAATTATGCAGAGCTTATACGGGGTGCCCATTACGGATGGGATTGTGTTGTTTCGGGTTGGATCGGGGTGATCGCCCGACTCGTCGCTTGAAAACAAACGCATTTGCTTTTGAAGCGACTAGTCGTGCGCGATCGGTGTGTACCATGATAGGCGCTTTGCAACCTCAATCAGGCAGCAGACTGACCCGACCCGACCCGATCCCCCAATGGGCACCCTGTATAACACTACTTAACATTCTAATATAAATCTATTGTGTAGCCAGAAATTGCATTATTGTGGTATGCCTTTATTTCTTCAAAGTTACGGCATGTTTATTTGGAGGGGATCAATAACCTGAGATACATAGAAGATGCAGATCTGCTAGCAAACACAAACGAATATCTTTCCAAAATGTGAAACTAGTGAAAGTGAACAGCATTAAGGCAGGCCTCGACATGAACGCAAAGAAAGCAAAAACAACGGTCTTGTCAAAATCTTCGGGAAAAACGACAGACATAACCATAGATGGGGGGAGAGACTCGAACAAAAGCACCAATTCAAGTATCTAGGGGCAACAATCACAGATAAAGCAAGAAGTGAAAAGGAAATAAACATAAGAACAGCAGCTGCAAAATCAAGATTCAGTCAAATGTAAAAACTATTTAAATCCAGGTAACCATATCTTGCTTTAAGAAAGAGAATGCTGGAATGCTACATCCTCCCCATATTCCTTTATGGCGTGGAGACCTGGACTTTGACAAGGAAATAAGAAATTAAAATTAATGCGTTTAAGATGTGGTGTTATCATAGAATGACCAGAATAAGTTGGAAAACAAAAAGACAAAAAAAAAGAGGTGTGTCACATTCCACTGAATGTGACCCTGCTGAACAAAATAGAATGTAGAAAAATACAATACTATGGCCATTTTAAAAGATACGAGACCCATTGGAAAGATGTGGGGTAGGAGAACCAGAGTAAGGCAAAGAATAGCACGGATGGACAACATAAGAACGTGGACTCGACTGGACAGGATATGGCAGAATGTGCAACGGCAGCTCGCGACCGTGAAAGATGAGGGGTCATTACAAGTCAACATCTAGTCAGCGATGACACCTCCAGATACAGATGAATGACAGCTTAAAAAAATTCACCCTTAGTTTCAATTTGCTACATAGCATTAACATCGGAATTGATTCTTAAATAGTCACAGTAGGTGGTTGGCGGGTGCTTTAGTATGGTTTGCTTCTTTGTTTCTTTTTAATATCTATAGTCCACATCTCTCGTCCTTTTTTAAAAATCGTATACCACTTTCAAGTAACACTTCTGAAGAGATAAGATGGGGGTGTTTAAGAAAGTTCTCTAACAAAGTATCAACTAAAACTGTGTTTTACGACATCCTGTCGCATACGATCAGATGTCAAGGTCTGGTGGTTGCCATGCATCATTGTTTCCCAGATATGTAAGACGATCGCCCCCAGGCTATAAAAAAACATGGCTGCATCGGCGGACACCTGGAAAGTGGTGAGAGTGATGCACATAGCTGGCTTGTGTTTGGAGTAAATGTGACCATAATGTTGTCTGGCCGCTTTCATTTGGTCACAAAGTGTAATTCTTGAACATTGTATGGCTATTTCACTACTTTAGCCTAACTCGAAGAGAAGTTGCTAAACATGGGTAGTGGAAAAGTATCACGAATACGTAAACTGAAAAGCCCATCCCGGACAAATAAACATGGTATGAGGCTTGTCTCTGTAGATACCGGGCGCTAAATCGGTGAGAAAGGCGGTGCATGATCGAACATGCTTTAGTCAATGAAAAATCGATAGGTTATGACTGTCCCTATCTCTGACTATGTCTCTGTCTGTCTGTCTGTCTGTCTGTCTGTCTGTCTGTCTGTCTGTCTGTCTGTCTGTCTGTCTGTCTGTCTGTCTGTCTGTCTGT